AACTTGATCCAAGGACGATTAGTGCTTTCTTTATTGGATATGCACAATCTTCTAAGGGTTATAGGTTCTATTGTCCATCTCATACTACTAGGATAGTGGAATCAAGGAATGCTAAATTTCTTGAAGATGACTTGATTAGTGGGAGTGATCGGTTTAAGGACTTAGTTCCTTCCTTCGATCATATTGACTCTCAACCTTCTACGTCATCTGGTGGAGTTGTACTTATCCGCAGTGCTCCTTTAGTTATGCCTGCAGATATACCACCTACCGTTGAGATTCCACAAACTGTTGAGGATCAGCCTTTGGAAGAACCAGTTCAGGACTTGCAGCAACCGCCTGAACTAGATTTCGAACCAATGGTTGAACCAACTCAGGATATACCGCAAGATTCTGAGCCGATGCAGACTGAACCGATTCAAGAACTGCCACCAGTTCCTGAAGAGGTAGTTGCCCCGCAGCCTGTACAAGGTGATGAGGGTCCAACTTTAAGACGGTCTACTCGGATAAGGCGATCGGCAGTTCCTAGTTATTATGTTTCGTATCTACAAGAATCTGACATAGGGGCTGAAGATGATCCTGAAACATTCTCTCAAGCCACAAATTGTGCACAGTCTGACTTATGGTTAGAAGCCATGAAAGATGAGATGAATTCCATGAAGGACAATGGAGTTTGGGATCTTGTTGAGTTGCCTAATGGGGCCAAGGCCATTGGCTGTAAATGGGTTTTTAAGACTAAAAGAAACTCATTAGGCAACATTGAGAGATACAAGGCCCGGCTTGTTGCCAAGGGATTTACTCAAAAAGAAGGAATCGATTACAAGGAGACTTTTTCTCCTGTGTCAAAGAAAGATTCACTTCGGGTCATTCTGGCATTAGTTGCACATTTTAATCTTGAGTTGCAACAAATGGATGTGAAAACCGCTTTCCTAAATGGTGATCTAGAAGAGGAGGTTTATATGAAACAACCTGAAGGTTTCTCTTCTAGGGGTGGTGAGCATTTAGTATGTAAGCTTAAGAAATCCATATACGGTTTAAAACAAACCTCCCGTCAATGGTACATCAAGTTCGATGGGGTAATTTCTTCATTTGGTTTTGTTGAAAATCCCTCGGATAACTGTATATACCAGAAGGTGAGTGGGAGTAAAATTTGCTTTCTTGTTTTATATGTGGATGACATCTTACTTGCCACCAATGATAAGGGGATGCTTCGTGATGTGAAACAATTTCTTTCTAAAAACTTTGATATGAAGGATATGGGTGATGCCTCTTATGTTATTGGCATTAAAATTCAGAGAGATAGGTCCCGGGGTATACTGGGTTTATCTCAAGAAACCTATATAAACAAAGTTTTAGAGAGATTTCATATGCAAAATTGTTCACCGAACGCTGCTCCCATATCTAAGGGGGATAGATTCAGTTTGGACCAATGTCCGAAAAATGATTTGGAGAAGGAATCCATGGAGAACATCCCTTATGCTGCAGCAGTTGGATGTCTTGGATATATCCAAGTCTGTACGAGGCCGGATATTGCTTTTGCGGTTGGAATGCTAGGGCGTTACCAACACAATCCGGGGTTGGACCATTGGAGAGCTGTAAAGAAGGTTCTAAGGTATCTCAAAGGAACCAAAGGTTACAAGCTTGGGTTTAGGGAGACGGACAATTTAGATCTTGTCGGTTATTCAGACGCGGACTTTGCTGGCTGTGTTGATTCTCGAAAATCAACTTCAGGGTGCGTCTTCATTATGGCCGGTGGGGCTATCTCATGGAGAAGTGTTAAACAGTCCTTAATAGCTACTTCTACCATGGAAGCCGAGTTCGTTTCCTGTTTCGAGGCTACTTCACAGGGTGTTTGGCTAAAGAATTTTATCTCTGGGCTTAGAATTATGGATTCTATATCTAAGCCATTGAAAGTCTACTGTGACAACTCAGCTGCAGTCTTCCTAGCTAAGAACGACAAAAGTGGAAGTCGAACTAAGCACATCGACATCAAGTTCTTAGCAATTAGGGAGCGTGTCAAAAATAAAGTTGTATTCATTGAACACATTCATACTGAGTTGATGTTAGCAGATCCCTTGACCAAAGGCATGCCACCATTTAAGTTCAAGGATCTGATTCAGAAAATGGGACTTTCGCCCAATTTGTAATTTGTATATATACATTCAGTTTTAATAAAATTCTTTAGCATTCAGACATTTTCTCAATTAAGTGTGTACACCTTCATTTACTTTATATTGATGAGAAAATGTACTTCAGGGACTTGGAATAAACATAGGGTTTATTTCGTTGGGTTTTGTTTCCTAATTAAGTGCTCAATGGCAGTTTGCATTTGATCATAATGGATACTACTCGTGCTAATGAGAACATATCATTATGGTTGGTGTTTTTCTGTTATTGAGTGGTAGTGCTTGCACCAAGTGGGAGAATGTAACGTTTATCCGTTACTATTATTATAACATTAGGATAAGTTATGATAATATTCAGTATTTGATATGTGGTGCAACACTAATAACCTAACAACTAGACTACCATTATGATTAGGAGTCTAGTTAGGGTTTAGGAGACCTAAAGACAATCAACCACAATGATGGCCAGTGGTTATATAAGGTCACTAGTCCTCTCACTGCTCACATTACATACCTCATACACCATCTAGAGAGAGCTGAGTAAAGTGAGAGACAAAGCACTTATCATCTCTGCAGCAGTCCGGATCGCTCAACCGTAAGAAGAACTATGGCTGGAGGTTAGTACGATCCTATTATCACATATAAGATTATGCATGTGATATTTTAGTCTAACATGGCAATCCCTTCTTTTGCAAATACTTTTTTCTATAAATCAAAATTCATTAGCTATATATTATAGGTACATGTGTGTTTTAAAAATAAGTAATTAATTTTACAACTTACAAGTACTTGTGGACAATCATCATATTTGTTTTTGAACTTTATTCCCCTACCAAGTGGTTTGCTATCAATAACTTCAAGAATTGATATTTTGAAATCGAAGCACATCAATAAGAAATGAGCATGGCGTATAATGGCAAAGAATACCTAATTTGAATAAAAAATTGTTAGCATTACTTTTAATTTCAATGACAAGAATTGTATAAAAACTGCTTACCAATTATGTATCACTTATATCCAGATTTGACATATAAATTAGGGTGTGTTTGGTTGGTGGGTTTTGCCCATAGGGATGGGTATGAAAGTGATTGTTGTTGTTTGGTTGATAGGTTTTTAGAACACTACTATGGGTTTCGAATACCTCATCAATTAAAAAACTCATACCCAAATAAAATAAGGGTTTCATTCCTTTATCCATTCTCAAGCATTACTATTAGTAACCATTTCCATTCTACTCTACTACCAAACATGTTAAATACTTTCATCAAAACCCATTACCATTACCAAGTATTTGATACCCATTCGTATTCCGATTCCGATTCCTATGTGCGAACCAAACACACCCTTAGTTCATTATCTAAACTAGTAGTTGTACCCGTGCGATGCACGACCATGTTATTATGGTGAAATATATTAAAAATTGTTTTATTCATGAAATATGGTCAATAAGGTTATAGGCGTCACAAATACACAAAATATAATATTTTATTATTAACTAAACAAAACAATTATACATTATTAAATATTTCTTTGTAAATTAATTTCAATATGACATTTACTTACCAAATAAGCTTTACTACGAAAGTTTATGCGAAAAAATGGTAAAAGGATGATTTTACGGACTTTTAATTATAATCTTAATACAAAACATATATAACTAAAATTATTAAGAAATAATAATTTAGCATGATCTTACAGAAGTTAATCATTATTACATTAACTAAAGATACATATATTTGTGAACCATGAATAAAGTATACACTATTAATATAATGAATTTACATTATTTCCATAATAAAAGTTTATTATGGTATTTATTTATATTATAAAATAATGCATTTTTAGTAAATTTAAAACTATAGTCCACAAAACATAAGTAATTAGACCAATATACAACTTAAATATGTAAGTAAAAAATAATAATTTGACTAAAAATAATGCATTTTTAGTAAATTTAAAACTATAGTCCACAAAACATAAGTAATTAAATCAATAATGCATTTGTAGTAAATTTAAAACTATAGTCCACAAAACATAAGTAATTAGACCAATATACAATTTAAGATTGAGTAGAGCTTGTAAAAAAAAAAAAAAAAAAAAAAAAAAAAAAAAAAAAAAAAAACTTCTAAATTCTAAATTCCTAACCTCATAGTAAAGCTTCTAAATTCTAAATTCTAAATACCTAACCAAGCTTGAAAAACTATTCACAGTATTATAATATGACTAACAATCAACATTAGAGCTTAAATTCATTTTACCCCCGGATGCATTCAAACTATTCATGCATTCATTAATTTCATCAACAACATCAATGTTCCAAAATATCTTTACCAATTAAATTGTTACAATCAAATTCTCCACTTCAAAACATAGAATTATCAACAATAGCTTGTATTGGATCACCATTTGACTTTTATAAAAAAATTTATTATATGTAAATAATAAATATATAATTATTTGAACACATCTTAAAACATTCTAACTATTTATTTATCACTTGAATGAATACAAATGTAATATTACAATTCAATACAATAAAATGAAATATAAATAATAATATAAATTACAGAACAAATGTAATATTATAACTCAATACAATAAAATGAAATATAAATCTTTAAAAAATAAAATTACATTAAAAAAAAAAAACAAATCTTTAATAAAATTTTCTTAACCCAACATTTATATCATATTAAAAAAAAATAAAATATATATATATATATATATATATATATATATATATATATATATATATATATATATATATATATATATATATATATATATATATATATATATATATATCCCACAACAATGGCCCAAAACCAGAGCCTAAACCCGACCCAACCATCCCCCATATAAATTGCAAACCCACCCGACTCAACCCAAACTCCCTCCCCCATTTTCGCGTCGGCTTCCTCGCTCTGCTGCCCAAAAACCCTCGTCCCCTCGACAGGAATAGAATCCAAGCCAAATCATTCAGAACAAACCTCATTCCAAGCTACGTTAGATTCCGGCGTTGGTGCTGCGGTTCCTCGTCGTGCGGAAACCAACAATGAAGAGACGGAAAACCTCAACTTTCCCGCAGTGCGTTTGGCGGTGTAGATTTGCAGTCAGCGAAACATTCTGGTAGCGGCAGGTAAAACTACAATTTTATAATTTTGCATTTATGTGTATAAAATTGTTTTGACAGATTTCTTTATTTTGATTTTAAGAAGATTTTACACATGCAACGATTTTCATATCTACAAATTTAAGAGTATATCTACAAATAGTTAGCTCCGAAGCAATTTTTTTAAAGATCTGTTCTGTGCAATATTTTTGTTAATGTGCGGTTTTTATACATTTTTTATATGCATGTATATTATCGGATAAATTAGGGTATATTGTATAGATTTAACATCCATTGTGTTCAATTTATATGTCAGATTTTTTCAAGTTTATTTGAGTTCAAATGGAATTAAAACTTTAAAATTGTTTATTTAACTATTGAGAAAAAATATGAGTTCATTAGTTTACACATAAATGTACTTAATATCTTTCAGTTATGATGTGGAATTTTTTTCAATTACTATTATCAATAAATATTTTTAAAAAATATAATAACAGAACATGTATAAAATAGGTTTCCAGTGATTTAAAATTTTTTTTTTTGTGTTTTTTCATTTACCTCAACATTAGAATCTAAGCATTTAAATGCAGAATATAAAATTTCTATTATTTGTATGCACATGTCCTCAAAAAACCTGGGCAATATTATGGCTTTATTATTATCCTCTATTCATTTAACATCTCAAGCTTTTCATTTATATATCAGATTTTGTTTTTGGTTTATTTTTGTTCACATGCAATGAATATGTTATAATTGCTTTCTTTCACAGTTAGAAACAAATTTGAGATAATTATTTTTGACATAAATAAACTATATATTTTTGTTTATTTTTATGATTTAAATTGCATAATATAATATTTCTATTAGTTTCATGAACATGCCCACAAAAACTATGGTAATATTGGACAAAGTTGGAATTAAGCTTTTCAATTTATAGCCAAGGGAGTAGTCTCTTCTGGCATCTCATGTATATATATGGCTCTACTTGAGGGCTAAATGTTTGCAGCATCTCTTTAGAGCTGTCAACTGAGACATTACATTAAAACACAGGAATTGAAAAATCAGTTTCCCATAAACTAATTGTCAAACAGACCTTGCAGGATGGAGGAATGGCAGTATTACTTTTTGATTCCGGTTTTCCAGGCATAGTTAATGTACTTGAGGCCGCAAACAATCTCGATACGAAGAAGTCTCATACTCTAGATCCATAGTTGGTGCAACCTTGGAGCTCATATGAAGAAGAGAGCTGAATGGTAAGTAACAAATTGCCTAAATGTAATCTGTAATTTCATAATTTTGTTTTCTCAAAGTTGATTTTAATTGGTTAGTTGTATAAGTGATCCGACATTGATATGGTAGTCCATCCGATATCCCTGCCTTTCAGTTAGGCAATTGTATAACTAATTGCCTTTCAGTTTTTCACTTTGAAACAAAGTACAAATCTGATGTGGAAGTCACTTAACATGACTATTTCAATTTTGAATTGAGTATTCAAAATATTGTTGAGTTTCTGCCTAGAATAGATTTCTATAATAGCTTAAAATTACATAAGTAGTCATGTACAGATTTACAATTGGTGAAATTTAGACAAAAATTTTATTAGTGTTGAATCCTCATAAGTGTAGCACTTGCCTGTTGAAGTGTCATACTTGAGATCTGATCTTGAAACCTTCTTAGGTTGTAATGACTTGAATCTCCAACCCAGCCTTATGCCAAAGCATGATAAATAAGTCCGCAATCATTTCTGTAACACAGAAATTAAAAACATAAAAACTATAATAAAGGAATAGGAAAAAGATAATAGATTATTAAAATAACAAAGTAAAACATTAGTGATGCATTTAATACTGCCAAGTGCAAAAAGGATAAAGAGTAAATGATCACAATTCTATTGATAGAAATCCAAATGTCAGAAAAAAAAACAATCACAAAAGCACATTGGTTGGAATTGATATCAATGGATAAGTGCTACCAATTTAATATATAGGTCCATCCAAACCTTAAAAAAAATGCTATGTGTCTGAATTTGTCCATCCCACATAAATCAAATTTACATTTTCTCTTGTTTCACAGCAACCATCGTTTACTTCTTAAGTTGCCTAGGTGATGAAAATTGGTCCAGCAGGCATCTTTTAACAGTGTTTGAATCTTCAGACCCTGAAATCTTCGAATTCTTGTGAGTGACAGTCACTGGACTATTCACTTCATCTCCTTTGGAATGAATGAAAAACCTAAAAACCAATGGTATTAATTACATATTTATATTAGAATTGGTAATAAAAATGAAGTTCTATTACCAATTTAGTATTCCAATGTATTCATGTTCACTGGCATTGTTGGAGAGTACATCATGCAAACTTTCAGAGCAACAGAAACCAATAGTCTAACACAAAATCAGATAAAGAAATAGAAAAGAAACCAATCATGAATATATGATTAATAAAAATACAATTCTGTAGTTAATGTGTTTTATTAACATGTTTGAATTGATGTCAATAGTTACTGTATGCCTATAGTTAAGACATGTGATAACCAATAGTCTAATACAAAAATTAGATAAAGAAATAGAAAATAAACCAAACATGAATATAGGATTAATAAAAATACAATTCTGTAGTTTCTTTGTTTTTTTAACATGTTTGAATTGATGTCAATAGTCTACTATATGTTTATAGTTAAAACATGTGACGCATGTGTCTAAGAGTTATATATATTTGACAACTAATATGTAGGTACTGTTTTAATTCTTATCAGTATTTTTTATTTACAACTCTCAACAGTAATTTACATATGATTCTATTTTCTACTTGGTGCAACCTTGGAGGTCATCCAGAAGGAAGCCTTACTCTAGATCCATAGTTGGTGCAACCTTGGAGGTCATCCAGAAGGACGTAGCTGAAAAACCAGAAGCCAGGGGTGCTGCTAGGGAGGCTGCACTCAGGTACTTTTTATAGTTGCTTCATTCTGGCTAACATTTTGTATCTGACTATTCAGAGTAGAGTAAATAGATTATTACAAAAAAAAAAACAGATTAGATTAATTTATTAAAACAGAAAATAGATTATTTAGTATACAATTAGTTAGTATAATAAATAAACATATTACGGTTTTCAAAAAAAAAAACAGATTAGTATAAAGAATAAATAAATAAAAAGATTATTAACCAAATCACTGAAAACAGACTATTAACAATTCAAGAAACTGATTTCTTTCTACATTGTGAAAGGCAAAATGAAAATACCCAATCTAGAGTATCAATTATTTTCTACATTGTGCAATTCAATATAATAGAAAACTAAAATGCATACGTGATATATATTGAGTGTCCCCTTGCTATTGAAACCCTTCAGAAAAGGATTTCTATACTGTATAAATATTAAAAATGAAGGAAGTTCATATAGTAAAACTTATACTGCATAAATATTAAAAATGGAGGAAGTTCATATAGTAAAAGTTTTACAATTATTTCAATTCTTCATGAAATAAAGCTGCTTTAAAATGATATAAAAGAAAACAATGATAATCACCTCTTGTTTGTTGATCTTTCTTTTGAGCTTCAATGTAGATGTAGAGGAAAAATTGAGAAATTTCAAATTTGAAAAAAAAAACTTTCAGGTACCGTAGATATTCATTTTGAATCTTGAGTTCATTTGAGATGCAAGCACAAATTGCTCAACATTAGTTTTATTCACAAAACAAAGAACAAAAGGCATGCAAAACTGCTGATTGTAGCATCAACAACAAAATGAATAGGTACTCTAGGTTACATGCCACTTTTCATCATCCTCTTTGAAGAATTTCTGCAAACATTTTCCAAATTAGAGATTATATTCCATTTAAAACAATAACAATTAATTATAGATTAGAATTATATTTAGTTAGAAACCTTACATCATCAGTGTCATGTTGATCTTCTGGCTGTAGGATCTTTGAGCAGTAGATCCCTACTTTGGGAATTAGGCAATTCTGAACAGTGAATTGCAAGTAATGAGGAATGTAGATGTCCTCAATGAGGAATGCAGGTTTGTAAAGAAAACATTACCTCAATGGCGTAAAGGACACATTCTTGACTCTTATTCAGATTTGTAAAGAAAACATTACCACAATGGCGTAAAGGACACATTCTTGACTCTTATTCAGATTTGTAAAGAAAACATTACCTCAATGGCGTAAAGGACACATTCTTGACTCTTTATGGCAGGCACAATACATGTTTTTAACCTAATAGCTTTCTTATATGTAGTTGGGCAGATGTCTTTTCGAAAGATGCATAGTGGAGCCATTTTTTGGTTATCAGATGGATGGCATAATCTAAGCTGAGAAGAACAAACACGCTGAGGATTAATGCAAAGTGTGAATTGTTTGTGTATAGAAGGATTTATAGAAGAGGTTGAAGGCTCTAGAGTTCCAAAAATAATCAGCTTCCAAGGATTTAGAGTTCCAAGCAGCACTGGATACTGAAACGTCCGCCAAACGGTGGCCAGCAAATTTAAAATTATGTGGAACAACTTCCCACAAAATGGGGAAACCAAAAAGGTGGCTGAGCATAAATGTAGTGTTTTTATGTATTTAATTAATAATAATACAAAATTAATAAATAATCTTTGACTGTAATCTTCTATCTTCTAATGCCAAAACGGCGTAGTATAGTTTGAGCGGGAAAATGAAGCCATTTCATTGGCCGAAATCTTATGGCTTTAATATATAGGAAGATATTGTTCAAAATTCATCTATCTTGTTATTTCATCTATCTTCTTCCAAGTGCTTGAACAATCTATTTGAAGCTATAGAAAAATAGTTTTATATTAAAGGATGTTATTGAAAAAGAGAAACATATATGGATTTATTCTCTTACAAAAGTTGTTGACGAGAAGAAGATCCTTTTGGGTTTATCAATTCCACAATTGAGGGCAAACATGTTCATTATTAGACATTCTTAGATCCTTCTTGTCTGCTTCTCTTGCAATATTTAAAATGTCAGTATCAATCATTTATGTTGTTTTTTGATCGCTAAGCACCTTGTGCTCAAATGACATGTAGTGACTTTTCTCATGTGGGAGGTCATGAGATTGAGTCTCGGTAGAGGCTTTATTAGGTTGAGAAAGTATGTTTGCACAGATATGCAATTGCTTCAAGAAAGGTTGGTTGATTGAAAATCTCATCATCTCTTAACAAGTTTTCTTTTTCTGTAGCTTGAGAGGAGGATACCATGTTGAACATTCCAACCATGTTCTCAAATGTTTTCTTAATTATTTCCCTCATGTCTTTGTATTTCTAATCTCTGCCATAACTTCCTCAAATTCAACCTTTGTAGCTGTCATTTTTTTTCAGCAATATAGTTACTTTGTTGATTGATTTTTTTAGAAAATTTTGAATTTTCCATACCATGACTTTTTTCAACTTCCTTTTTGTTCTGGCTTTTGAACTATTGGTATCACTTTTCCTCAACCAAAACTACTAGACATGGTCTCTGCTTTGGTTCTTTTCTTCATTGCTGCTTCAGTCCATGTAGTCATGGCAGGGAATTTTCTTTCAATTTTCTCTCATTTGAATTGCAATCTATCAAGATATGGTAACTATTTTTCAAAAATAATAATCAGTTATAAGATTATTAGAGCAACACTTGTGTTTGGTTCATGGGTTTACACACTTGGAATGAGAATCAAAATCAAAGTTAGTGTTTGGTTGACAACTTTTTAGAGTTAATATCCAAAATGGTCCTCGACTATAGTGGTTTTTCTCAATTTCGTTCTAAACGACTTTGGTGACACAATGTAGTCCCAGACTTTTGTGCTTTTTACCCAATGTAGTCCTCTGTTTGTTATTCCGTCAAATTGGTGTTAAATAGGGGGGCAATTAAGTAATTTCAATATTGACTTCTCTTTTCTCCTAGACCTGCAAAGTGAGAAATCCTTCTTTCTTTTACGAATTACTCCCATACCACATGTCTCCATATGTATGTATTGTGTGTATATTGCAATTCTGAGAGTAATTCGTAAAACAAAGAGAGATTTTCGCACTTTGTAATTGTCCCTCTATTTAACACAAATTTGACGGAATAACAAACGGAGGACTACATTGTGTAAAAACAAAAAAGTCTGGAACTATATTGGGTCACCAAAGTCGTTTAGGACGAAATTAAGAAAAACCATTATAGTCGATGACCATTTTGGATATTAACTCCAACTTTTTAAAACAGAACTATGGGTTTTGATTATCTATTCAATTAAAAATTTCATTCCCTAATTAAAAAGGGGTATCATTCCATCTTATTGGTAATCTAACTTTTAAGTTCGGATTAGTACTTTTAGATTTTTGATTTGATTATTTTTTGTTTAAAAAAAAAAAAAAAACTAATTCATTAATCATAGACGGAAACTTTTACAATAAAGATCAATGGAATGGTCAAATATTCCTTACAGTCAGACATAGAAACGTTTATATTGATGCTTTGGATGTCATTATATTAGGATCAATTGCCTTGATTTTTTTGTTTTTGTATTTTTAAAACATTTTTTTCCATTATAGGGTCATACACAACCAAACATCACTTTTTGGTGATCATTCCAATTTCACCCTACTACCAAACATGCAAAATACTTTTACCAAAACTCATTACCATTACTAAGTATTTGATTCACATTCTCATTCCGATTCCCATGTGCGAACCAAACACACCCTAAAGGATCATGTTTATTAAACTACACATTCATTTGACAATATACATAGAGTACATGATAGTCAATTTCATTTTATACACACCATAGGTTAATTATAGAAACACTAAAGTATCATTTTAATTCAACTACAAGTTCATTTGACAATATACATATATGTATGAACTAACTCTATTCAGTTTTATTTTTCATACACAATAGTTTCATTATAGCAATACGAAATGATCATTTTTATTACACTACAAGTTCAATTGACAATATGCATACATATATGATCCTTGTTATTTAGTTTATACACACAATAGGTTCATTATAGCAACACTCAAGTATCATTTTCATTCCACAACAGGTTCATTTGACAATATACATACCTATATGACCCCATGTTATTCAGTTTCATTTCCTACAAACAATAGGCTCATTATAAGAACACTAAAGCATCATTGTCATTCCACTACAGATTTATTTAATAGTATACATACTTGTATGAGCTTGTCTGATCTATTCAGTTTCATTTTCCATACACAATTGGTTCATTATAGCAAATCTAAATGATCATTTTATTACACAACAAGTTCATTTTACAATGTAGATAGCTATAGTTCATTTTACAATTTAGAGTATCAAATGAACATATTTAAAAGAAATGTTAAATCATTACCAATAAGGGGACAACTGAAAATTGATTATGGTTCTTTCTTACATGCTTCAACTGATTCAATCAAGCTTGTGATGGTGTATTGGCACTAGTTGAGATCCTTTATAGCTCCAACATCTATCAATGAATATAGTATATTATAGTTTGCTATCTTGCTTTGGTTCTCTTTGATCAAGCTTGAAACCATTAAGATAATGAAACCTCTCTTAAACATTGCACCATGGTTTCCCCTATCAATCATCGTTGTTAACATTATGCTAGTTATTGGTGAAGCACAAGGTATGTCCCATCGTTGTCTCCATTCTTTCACTAAGTTGGTAATGCTTTAACATTTCTTTTAAATATGTTCATTTGATACTCTACATTGTAAAATGAACTATAGCTATCTACATTGTCCAGGTATTACAATCATCTCATTTTTTAGTTCCGAATGATTTTTTACCGCATTTTAGTTCCAAATGATTTTAAACCCTAGATAATAGAATCTGTAAAATGAAATATCATCTGTGCATACTTATAATGAAGCTTAAGCATAATAATGAACCTTATTACATTTAATTAGCATTTAGTGTTCTAAACTTTTAGTGTTTTACATTGACTCACACCGATGTATTACACCATAGTCCACAAAGCTATCTATATCATGGTCCACCACATAACAATTGCAAAATTGGTTCCATTGAATAAAGAATGCTAGGTCGAGTGAAAGAGATCCTAACAATTTGGATAGCTGGAAATTTTTATACTGCCACAAAATCAAACCTTTCGACTCATATCATATAACATAAACAATTTACCATGGCAGAATAAATAGAAAGGAGCCTCTCTTAAATTTGACAAAAGGGTCTTTTGTAAGTATGTACATACTAGTAGAAATCATGAAATCTGGTTAACTATGTGTCGATTCCTCTGAGTAACAGGCCGGACTAGTAATCTTTCCCCATTCACCAAAAAATTTACGGGGCACCACCATTTCTTTGCAAATTAAACAACATATACATAGACCATAATTTTTATCATTTCGCCAAATGGAAGAGAGATCACATCCATTCACCTTCTGCTTTTCCACCCTGTGGTTCTATTTTTGTTATTGCAGGTGCCAGTATATAACCAACATGAAAAATTTCACGGCAGCCGAGCACGTGGAGAATGTGGACTGGAAAACGGGGGAAGAACAACTAATTTTGAATCACAGGGAGAAACATTGTACCCCGCTCGGGACATTCCTTGGCATTGGGAATGCAGTCACATATCTCTGAGCAAAAGCTTTATAAGGGTGTGCAGCTGCATCTGACGAAGTTGAGGTATCTGCACCATCAGCTTGGCCCCGACCATAGAACTTTGCAAAACGGTTAATGACAGCGAACTTCTCCAAATCTTGGTTTTCTACTATCAAATCCGCCAGTGAAACTCTCTTGTCCAATCTGTTCACAGAGCAATGATCACAATAAGAAACTGGAGAGATGAAGACAGGATGTAGCAGCAGAAAAAAACAGATATAAATGAACTTCAGAGAAGCAGGGGAAAAAAACGCATCAGATTACAAGACATAATTAATGATTAAAATCTCCAAAAGTGCAACCTATGCCCAGGATGAGTAATTTAGAAACCAATATTAAACTAAAAGTCTAAGCCTGTTGATGAACCAAGCAGTTACAGGTGAACAGAGCTCAGTTCAGCACAAGGCCATTTGCTAAGCTGAACCAATTTAAGGTTAAACATAAATTTTTAGTCCTACCTCACTCTTCTAAAATCTCACTCTCCTTTTCCCCTCCATTCTCTTCTATCTTGAAGATAGTATCTTACTATCTTCCCTTATTCACCAGAGTACAGGACTCCGGCACAAAACCTAGAGACGCACTAACACGAAAGTATGCAAAGTCTTGCTTTGATCTGCTCTTGTTTCTGACAAAGATTTTTCCTCGAGTCCACAGACCAAACCAGCTCATGATTCATGAAGTGTAAACTAGGCAAAAGAACCAAGATCAAACACAAATTTCAACACATGGAATATGAAAGCCAAGCCAATCTCAGACATCATGGGATAGGCATAGCTGGTTTACACCTCTATCAACAAAACACTCAAGGGAAAAGGGTCAAATAGACCCCTAAACATTATACGAAAGATCAATTAGACCCTGGAACTTTAAAAAAGTTCAATTAAACACATGAACTTGTCATTTTGATGCATTTGGGCCCAATAATCGGTCACCCACCGGTAATATCCGGTAATTAAATATTCAGATGATTAAATCCACAACCGGCAACCGTTAACGGTCGCCTTGTCAATAAAGAAGGCGCCGGTCGCCAGTTTTTTCCCGATTATTATTAATGATGCCGGTCAACAGCCGACAACGGCATGCTTACCAGTAAATTGGACTTATTTGATTGATTTTTATAAGTTGAAGTACTTAATTGCACTTTTTTTAAGTTTAAGGGCTTAATTGCACTTTTGTATAAAGTTCGAGGTGTATTTGACCCTTTTCCCAATACTTAATTGTCATTTTCTGTTAGCTATTTCATTCTTGTTAGCAAAATAATTGGACGTGTTAAAAACAAGAATACATGGAAGACAAAGACAGGGCATTACTCCAGAAACTTCTCTTCTAGCTTCCTTGCTCTCTCAGTGAACTCTTCCACAACTTTTGAGAAATGTTGATGATCACTGTCCTCTGATGTTGCGCACTTGCGAGACAATCTACAAAGCATGCAAGAATATTAATCAGAGGAGATAAAAGACTGAAAACAAACATGACAAAACAAGCTCCTTTTAGTTCCAATGCAAGCTTACAGTTCTCTCCCTTCAGCTGCCATACTGTAATCACTTTGAGGACTAGAAACCACACCACATGCATCACCCAATGCCAATCGAGAAGCTGAATAAGCAACAGCCTCATATTCCACACTGGAATTTGCAGAAAGAATTGTTATTGGTGGAGGACGAAATAATTGCTGCATAAGCTGAGTGGTCAAGATAAGTCTTCTTCTTGCTCTAACTCTTGAAGGGCAATTCTCATTAAAGTCAACATCCTCTTCAACCTTTCATTAGAAGAAGCTAGTAAGAAACTAAAAAAATTGAGTGAAATCTAAAACATGTGCTTTTACAACCAGCCTAAAAATAGCACCTTTTCAGTAACTCGATTCGCAGCTTTTGCCCAGTCTCTTTCACCCATGCTGCAAGCAAAGTTCAAGCATATTAACATGTAAGGGAACAGAAAATAACAAATTTATTTATATATAAAAAAAAAAAACGAAAAACATTGCACACTTCCAAAGGAACATCAAGTTGCATTGGAAAGATTATTGGAGTCATTATGCAAAATGAAAACCTGACAGTCTGAAGACTCTGCAAACTCTCTGAAACTTCTTTGCACCAAGGACTCAGGTCAGCTGTAACACGCCTGCGCTTCTTGGGTCTTAGTAGTAAATGCTGATCACTTATACTCACTGACAATGATTGAGAAGAAGGAAAGTGCTCGGCTGCAGTAGGGGTGGGGTGCATGCTCGGCTTAGCTTGTTGACTTATATCATTATTAGCAGGTATTAGTTGCTGCTTTGAATTAAATATGTGCAAACTACTGGAGGGCTTCCCAAGAGTGAGAGGTGGTTCACCCATCTTCATGGAAGCAGCTCTTTGCGCATCATGCATGGTTAACACCTGCCCATTTTTAAAGGTTCCATTTCCATACTGACTAAACCAAGTTGGTGCCATCTGTGGACTAATCTGGGTGTGCTCAAATTTAACAGAACTTGCACTGTTGGAAAGACCATTGGCCTGAGAATCATCCCTATGAATTGCATGCATATCCAGTGTAGGTACATTCCCTTCTATATTTCTTTCCAAATGATCTGCTCCAGAGAAATTTGGCATTCTAGAATCAACTGAGGGAACAGCGTCATGAGACACTTGCTGACCACCAGGGCCATAATCTGGGATTCGAGATCTTTTTAGAGCATTATTATTGCTCTGCTCAATTTCCTCATTCTTCATTGCCCGTACTTGATTAAGTAAAGAATAGTTTTGATGAGAAAAGTTATTAGGTTTCAAAGTTCGCCCAAAGGCTTCAATATCTCTTTGCATTGATGAAGAACTAACAGGATATACATCTGAGAGATTCTTGATGATATGTTCTTCCTGAGCTTTATTCACCTTCTGGACAGAATCAATATTTCTCAATGGTAATTGCTGAGAAGTGCTTTCCTTCAAATGTTGCTCTTCACTGGGTGCCTTACCTGATGAATTTACAGAATTTGCACAAACCTCAGATGAGAAATTCCCTCCTCCGGTTGCATCTTGATCTCCTCGGTTCTCAGGAGCAGAGGATGTTCCCACAATATTCAATTGGTGCAAGCATGATATAGATGAAGGCTCTCCACTAGGCAGAACACCAAATGGATTTGCCTGAGAAGTGCCCCATGTATTATTCATTGTCTTTGACAAGGACGCCTGTTGAGACATACCAGAAATGGAGGGATGCTGAGAAACTGGTAAGGAGTTACCAACTGATTTTTGAGGGGTTTCATGGGAATTGATGATGCTAGTCTGCTTAGCTGTGCCCAAAGAGTTGGGATTGCCAGCTACCACATGTGAGAAATTCTTTGCAGATAGACCACCACCAGATTGTTCCCTAAGTGAATCATCTTCCTCAGTGAAGCAGGGAGGATTTTTGGAAGAATTACTGGCGTCATCTTCCTCAGTGAAACAGGGAGGATCCTTGAAAGAATTACTGGTAGACTGACTTTTCAACTCTTGCCCAGTAGCCATCTGTTGATTTTGAATCCGGCTTCTTGAATAGGGGAAGCCAGAATTAAATGCTGGAGAAAATTTTCCATGCATCTCGTAACGAATGTTCTCATTGTTGTCATTTGTTGGAACTCCAGATCGATTAACAAACTCTCCTTGGGTTGTTTCACTGTAAGGAGGGAATGATTTAACTTGAGGCATAGAGGCTACATGTGCCTTTTCACCAAACTCAACAGCAGAATGACTCATAGATGAACAAGCAGTTTGCATAGAGCTCTGAGATGAAAGTATATGGTTTTGAACTGGCGTGAGCTGGGATGGAGGACCTAGTTGTAGACCAAATACTTGAGCAGCAGATGACTGATTTGGATATAGGCGCCCAACAGATCCATCTGAGTTTTCTGCCTTGGGCATCTCAATTTGTGATGCATTCTGACGCATTGTGGCACCAAAAACTCTTGATTGATCCACCTTCGGAAGAAGCTGTAGCATGTTTGGACTGCAATGAATGGAAACAATATAAAATAATAAAGCATGCAAATAAAAGGCACAAATTGAGTAATTGCAATTTTACAACTCCACTGTCATACTTGCAAGAAAATGAAATCATTTGAATGAATTCAAGTAAATAACTAAACACTTGCCAGCAGGAGCTATCAAAATATTGTCAGCATCAGATAATAACAAGAGATGGAAAAATCCATATATTAACTACCTAGAAGGAGAAGCTGTGATTGGAGGGGGAATATCAAAAGATCTGGTCAAGGGTGCAGACATATTAGACACAGAGCTAGGAAAGCAACTCTGAGAGTGCAGATCAGCCAGGCCTTTGCCATCTCTTAGAACATCAGATGATTGCCCCTGTAAAAAATACAGAAAAACCAAAGGTACAACTTTACTTTTATGCCAAGAATTTGGTCAAAATAAACTACATATGCTATACACACAGCATAACTTCAAAAAGATTCTTTGGAACCTGAATCAAAAACTTTGAGTGGCCAAAGTGGGCATTCTGTGGGGCCATTGCCTGTGTATGGATAGGATTTTGCAATCCATATGGGGGATCTACATCTTCATCCAAATTTCCCATAGGATGATACTGAAATTTGCGAGCAGAATTTTTCTTACCAACTTGATTAGACTTTTCCTTTCCAGTAGCAACAGCCCTTGAATCAGTTGGATCTAACATAACATTTTCCCTCAAACTTCCGGCAGAATTTTGGTGTGATGCATTGGACCGGTAGCTGTCATTAGAGTTCTCCTGTTTGTCACAGGTATCTATCTCATTACTTTTAGCATCTATTTGAGATGTGGTTTCTAGTGAGTTCAAAATATGGTTATCCTTGATAATGTGTGACTGTGATCTCTCCAAACCTTGACTTTCTTTACCTTTAAACAAGGTATTGGCATTCTTCCAATGCTTAACTTGATTCCTACTAGAAAGAAATCTACTGGTTTCCTCAGCACCGCTCATAGAACTGGACTTTGCTATTGTGTCAGCACTTTTTATGCCAAGAGGCTCTGAATTCACCAGGGCACCAGCAGGAGATCTTGTAAGTTCCAAATCAACAGCCGGGCTAGGTCCAGGATCAGTTTTCCATAAAGCACCAGTATGAACAGCTTCCCCATGTGTGCCTTTATTTTGACTGCTGCCTAAATATTTCGAGTAGTTCCGACTCGAATGAGTATTTACAGAAGCATCTTCAGTAGGCATTGCAGACCCAAGAGCATTCCAATCACTTAATCTATCACATGTTTTACTAGGAACACCAACCTCATCCATCCATGAAATAGGAACCCTCTTGGCATCTATTTCTGTATCAAGAGGAAGTGAAGCATTTGTCAGCATTCGGCTTCCTTCAGCACCTGACATTTGTAATGGTCCAACATCTGGCCACTTGTTGCCTTCCTCAGATGGTTGCACAAGTCTCTGCACAGAATTTGATTGCATGCTATGACCAGTTTCATTGGGAAATTTATGCCCAAGTTGCTGGGATCCTGGAAGATTGACATAACTATTCTTCACATTATTACTGCCAGATGCCTGACCAGTCTCGGAATTCAATGATGGCGCAATAGGCAAGCGGACATCAATCAAAGAATTTGGTTGCCTCCCACTACTATATTGTGAAATGTTTTGATTCCCTGGAGGAACAACCGTACTGTGAAAATTCAAACCACTCCACTCTTCCTGTGGTCCTACATCAGCACTAGAGCCTTCTGCAACAGCAGACTGCATTAGAGCACTCCAAGTACCACCTTGAATAGAAGAAAACCCATTGTCTAATCCAGTGCCATCAAGTGAATTGCAAGCTTCCTCCCTCATATTGGGGCTCTTTCCAAAGGCAGCCCATATATTATCATCTGAACCAAACAAAATTCTTTCTTCTGTAGGATCAAGACCAACTTCATTGTTTGAGGAGGCAGTTTCCTTTGATGTTTTCTCTTGTGTGTTGACTGAAGGAATAGCAGGCTCCTGTCTCGCTTGGAATTCCTGTGCAGCTGCACCATGTTGAATGGCATTCACTTCCTGAAGGTTCTCCATGTTGATTGCATTGTTTAGACTTTGGTTAGGAGCATGTCCAAAGAAACTTTCACCTACGAATCTCTGTCTAGAAGTGACAGCTCCATCCTGAACACCAATTTGATCCGGTGGTGGAGCATATTGTCGAAATGGAAATGAATTATTAAAGGAAACTGGTTGCTGTATCAATGGCTTATCAGCAACTGCTTGGGAATATTGACTTACACCAGCTCTTGAAGTTGAAACAGGAACTCCAAAAAGAGATTGGTCAATCTGTTGAGGAACTAATCCCATCATGTGATGTCCTTGACCATGATTACTAGAAACAAAACCATTAGAGGATACTTGCAATGCTGAAGAACTGCCCTGCAACCAGTTTGTGTTACTGGTGTCAGTTGCCCAAGGAAAGCTCAGTGCCCCTGAATGTATAGTGTTGTGAACCAAAGGAGAGGAATGGCTTCCAGATGCAACTTTAGGAAAGGGTAAAATCTGGCTAAGTGAATTTTGGTGCCTTGCATCTTGTTGCTGAAGTTGCTGTTGCCTTTGAAGTTCTTGCATCTTCATGAACATTACTTGCTGTTGTAGCTGCTGCATGTCCTTAAGCCCAGACTGCTGGAGCTGCAGAGATTGCAGCATGTTTGATTGCTGACGACTCATTTGTTGTTGACCGCCAAAAAGACCAAAATTACCAGAAGATTCAGAAGCTCCAGAACTGATTGGGCGTGCTTGATGCTGAGGACCCACACCTTGTGGTGACTGTTCACAGAAAGATGAGTCTACTGAAGCTACATTACGCTGATCAGAACCTATATCAGCTGCCAGAAAGCTTCCTTCATCTTGCCGTGTATCATAAAGATTGCCATACATATATCCATTCAAACTTTGCTGCTGACTCTGCAGCTGAATCTCAGACCTTAGAGTGGATCGAGCAAAGTTCAAGCCATGTGGACCATTCAAAAAATGACTATTTGACCCTCTCCCAGTATCTACTACTAAAACAGGAGATAAACATATTTTAGACAATTGGTTACCCAAATCATAGACTCACAGGAGTGTCAATACTCACTAGCAAGAAAAAGAAACATAGTAATAATAAACCACCTAATTCAGCATGCAAAACAGAGTCTAGGAGAGATAACAAACTGAAGACATGTCAACCAATTTATAAGATCATTAATACCTGATTGCTGTAAATTATAACTTTTTGTGCTGTAACTTGGAACACCAATTGGTCCCTGGCTTCCAACCCACAGATTATTATTCAGAGCTGGATGGTTCTGGTCCAACACCTGTGACTGATGCTGCCCCTGTGACAAGGTGTCCTGAGCAAAGAAATTGTGGACCCTATCTCCAACTTCGTTGCCAGGCATAGATGATATTAAATCCAAAGAACTTGATATGTGATTGTCAACTTCAAACCAATAAAATAGAATACAGATAACATCAAAAGCAGCCTATCCAGCATTTTCAAGCATAATCACATCTGAAATCCCAATCTCTTGATGAAGGCAATTCACCGTCGAATTTATCAGCCTAGACCTCCTGCAAAATATCCATCAGGATTAGTTAATGGAAAAAATACATTATTGATAAGTTAATGGCTGAAGATAATACTACTATATAACTATATGAATGGGAGGAATTCTGGTATTAAGTGAATGTGTTCTTCAATGACAGGATTATGATGCTAAGAGAATAAGTTGTTAAATGATAATATCAGAAGATACTCCCAGAAACAGGCTCGATTGCTCGAAATAGGAGCAAAAAAAATTCCATAATAGTAGGCATGAAACAGGATGCAAACTTCTGTTAGCAGTTGAAAGGCCAAAAACAGCTACTTTCAACAGCTAATCTCAATTCCAATTAGCAATGGGCATAAATGACCAGAACTAGTTCCCCTAAAAAACAAAGATAATGAAATTCCACATTATCCATAAGGCAAAAAATGGACAAAATATGGAGCCAGAACTCAAGCATCTGACTGCTTTGAAATTTGATGCTTAAAAACAATCTAACTTTTTATAAGTAATAATATCTTATTCAATTATTCATACAAAAACACCAAGCAGGTGTTAGGATAGGCTTCAGTTTCACAAAAGTCAGATCTGAAATGAACTAAAAAAATGTCCTAGTTTTTATATGTTATCTAAATTAGCTTCTTTGAACCATAAAAAAATAAAGCTGTGCAACAATACTTTTACCTACGTAAAAGGATTGAATTTCCCTAAAAACATCACCTACTTGTGTCCTTCAGTACTGTTCGCATCAGATAATTGGAGACTCATCCCATATTTTCAAAGCAAATTCAACCCACAAGTAATAATATTTGAAATGTATTATTCACAAATATCTCTCCAGAGAATGACAAAAAGGCTCATACTAATATCGATAGAGCTAAAAGAATCAGCCCAAATCTTCTTAAAATTGCAGAGAACTCTATTGTTATAAGGAAAAGCATACATCAACAAGCACATGAGCTAGAAAACATAGTAGGTCCCAGAGGTCCTTAGATTAGAGACTGCATAACTTGTAGAATTAGAGAGAAAATGTTAGAAAGATGCAATATGAACTTTTATTAAGTTCATTCCCTATTTTCATGAGCTTCACTCTGTCAAAATCATAAAATCAAAAACAAAATTTTTACAACTATGCCTACCTACCTAGACAAAGTTGTAGAAAAGTAGATCAAACAATCAGTAATTACCATAAGAAAATAATTAATCCAAGAGAATCCTGAGGAACTCAATGGTTCCATAGCCTAAAAAGAGTGACTGTTTTCATCTAACCACAACACAAATGCATGATGATAACAATTGTATGAATGCCACTAAAGTGCCTGCCTTCCAATGCTTAGATACACAGTTCATAATGGCTGCTGCCATTATTGGCACTTAACCTTTTACAAGTTAATAAATCACCATCATCAGCTTTACCTTTAGGAACTGTATTCCAGATTCACTTTTGTAAGTTCCTTTTATTGAGACAACCAGAATAATCAAATTATTCGTGAACCAACAAAATTGAGAATCAAAAATAATAATAAATAAATAATAATCATATCTTGAACTAATTGTTAAAATCAGAGTAAATGCAGTTCAGTATATCACCAATGTTTACTTTTTAAATTGTCATATAACAAACCAACCTAAAACGAAAAAAGTAGTAAAAACAATAATACTAAAGTAAATTAATTTCAGTGGAGACATAAAACAAGTCTTTGATGAGCCAACATGATCTAGCTAATCAGACTACCTATGCCACCATCCACACAACTCTTGAAAAATGACCACTCCAAAATGCACACAATAAAAAACCCGCGAGTGCATCTATTCCAGCACCGAACATTTTCCAACTAAAGCCACGATCTTCCCCAGAATTGTTAAGAAGATCAACAAATTTTTAATAAGAGGAGTCGCAATTTACAAAGCAGAATCAGAGATTGACGCCTCAATCAAGCACCAATCAGCTGGGCGAGCTCTTAGCTCAGTGGTCCAAAGCCTAAAACCAAATCCTAGATGAAATTCGGCCCGTCAAACACAATATAAGGTTGTGATTTTGAGAGACAGGAGCTAGGGTTCGTAATGAGAGAAATCAATTGGGAGAAAATTCAGAATTAAGATACACAAACCTCCGCTAAATGTCGAGGCGGACGGCAATGGCCCCTAGCGATCCTTCGTCTATACGAGTTCTACTCTAGGGTTTTGAATCGCCACAGAATGTGAAATTTTAGAGAGAGAAAGGGTCGGAGTGACCAAAAAAATAAGAGAGAGAAAACGAGGGGTTTTTTTGCAGAGAGAAAAAAGATAATAAAGCGAACGAATATTCAACGAACTGTGGAGTGAGTTTGGTTCGGGACGAGGCGCAGGTATGGTGAGGCTGGGTTCCCGAAGCTGAGGCCCGGACATTCAGTTGGATTGGGAGGTTCGGAGGCTTTAGACACTGAAGCAATTAGAATCAGCCGCGTGTCGTGGGGCCAGGTGTATTTTTTTATTTTTCATTTTTTATTTGTTGGATTAACTTAATAAATCCAGTAGAATGGATCAATCATCAATGGGGTAAATATACAAAGCCAAAACTTAAAAGTTTGCTTTTTTTGAATTTTTCCCTCCAAAAGCTGGACTGCAGAAGCAAAAAGATGGAAAAACAATTTCACATTTTCTTTCAAATCAACTTTATTCTGAATTTTTTTAATTACAAATACTTATTTCAATCAGTATACCCCTACAAAATTGTTTAATGTTGATGGTATTTGTAGCTCTAATTTCATTGCCATGGTGTAATCCACACAATGTAACTACCTGGAATTCTCCCCCACGAAAAGAGCTCATTTGTCACTTGAGTTATTCTGTTGGGTTATTTTTAACGTTAATTGTTAACTAGTAAGTCACTCGTGCGATGTACGGCAATGTTATTATGGTGCAAGATATAAAAGTTTGTTATATTGAAGATATAGGACTGATAAAGTTGAAGATGTAATAAATGGACAAAATATAATTTATTGGCGTTCCATAAATAAAATAATTACACATTATTAAAGATTTCTTTGTAAACTACATTTTAAGTATTGTTTAAAAGACCTATAGATTCCCCACAAATTAAGACTTTAAGGTCGTCATGATTACTCACCCTAGAAACTGCTACATACAATTGGCCACGGTTAAAACTGGTTTTTTCAGTAACAAACCAACATGTGAAAGCGTTTGACCTTGACTTTTGTTGATTGTCATTGCATATGATAGCATAAGTGGAAACTGTTTTCTTTGAAATTTAAATGGTAGTCTTGGGTTTGAAGGAGTCAATGCCAGCCTTGGTATCAACACATTTGTACCTGTGTTGTTGCCACATAGGATCTGTACCTCAATAACATGATTTCCCAAATGTGTTACTATCAACCTTGTACCATTACACAGTCCCAAGGAGTGATCTATATTTTTCTCATCAGCATAACTGGAGTTTCAGCTTTCAAGGTTAAACAGTGGTTGGGGACCCCTGAACATCTCAAATTGTTTAAAAATTCTGTTGTGTGGACCTCAGATTGCATATCAACATTTCTCTCTGACTTGCAAACAGAATCACAACTCAAATATGTTTTGGATGAGACTTGATTCATACCATTCATGTATTCATTGACCTGGTCGACAACATCTAATGTTGGAGCCAAAATAGCTATACTCTCGAGATGTCTTGTATCAATGTTTCCAGTACGGTATGCAGGAAATTTGTTGTCAACAATTTGTCTAATGGGATCGCCCTCATTTTCCAATACAAAGGAAGACGATATAATTATATTTCAATCACCACCATTGTCTTCACCAAGTTTTCCATCACCTAAATCTGCAATCCACTTGGCAAAACTATCTAACTTCTCAACCTCATCTTCATTAGTAATACTTCGCAATCGTAAATTCTTCGTTAAACGAAGAACTTCACAATTATTCCACAAGTAAGAAGAATTAATACTAGCTAAATGTAATTTATTCTACAAAAACTAAATAGCCAAAATTTTATTTAATAAAGACTAAAATAAAAGTGATAACAATTATATATATATATATATATATATATATATATATATATATATATATATATATATAATTGCTCATACCATTGCTAAAGTTGATATTTTGCGTAGGAAGACCAATACGATGTCTTTGAATTACACGTCTCTTATTTTGAGTTGTTGAAAATTAATGCATGTAAGTTGAGATCTATAACTGGTAGATTGTACTGAGATTAAACACTCTAAAAAAAAATGGATTTTCAATAAGTTTAGATTTTATTAATGCATTTACATTCATATATTTATTTGTTCATACTAAATGAAAGAACACATAATTTTATTATAATATAATTACAACTTAGTAAAAAAAAAAAAAAAGAGGTTACTGTTTTATAAAGTAATGTGTACCTAGCAGCTGTGGATTTGACAGAGTGTTAAAACATAACATTTGTTCCGAATTTGTACCACTTTGAATGTTGTTGGAAAAAGTGGACTGAGGATGATGAACTTGACTATTTGTAGTTGTTTCTAAGCTTTCATTTTCTACAATTAGAATTTTTAAATATGTTAGAAATTATTTTACACCTAAACATAAGAACAACAAAGTATATAATCCTACTATATAATACTACTAACATATAAGGATATCTATTCTAATTGTTAATATAATGTTATTATTATTATGGATAACCAACAGATGAGGGAGAGAAACCTCATTTCTCCCCATTTCATCGTCGTTTTTCTCTCGGTTCTATCGTTTTTCTCTTGTGTTTGAAATCCACTCGTTTGGTCTGGGTTTATCCAGATGATGCTATGTGACTATGTCACAACAAATTTATCTCTATTTGAGTATGTATTGTACTCTAATAATCTATAATTCATTCCGAATGCGTAGTCTTGATCGAGTACCGATCTGGAAACCCTAATCGAAGTTCTTCTGAAATGAAGGATTTTCAAGAAGCTAAAAAGCAAAGATGAAGGATCGGACCTAAAGTTGTAAGTTTATTCTTCATTTTTTTTAAAATGATAAATTTATGATTTTAAACTGTAATTTGTTCTTTTATATAAAGCTTTGTAATTGAAATTAGAAGTGTTAATGTCGATTTTATTATTTATTTATGTTTTGTTGTAATTTGTTAGCTCTCGTTCTCAACCTAGCTACAAAGTTTTAATTTCCTATGTTTATTCATATTTTTTTTTCAAATCTAAAACTAAATTATTTAAATTAGAAGTTTTGATTTCAGATATAAAGCTTAAAATCAAGGTATTTCTACTTCGGCCTAATAATTTGACCTAGGGTTTTTTACTACTCTAAAAAAATTTCAGTTTTTAACGTAACTAGACCTAGGATTTTTTACTAAGGTATGGGGCAAAAGGTGAGCCTTATTGGTGAGAATTGAGAGAAAATTTCCCTAAATCCCAAAGAAAAAGGCATGAGTGAAAGAAGTAGGGAAAGCCGATGAGAAAAAGGCAATACCAAAAATAAATAGTCATCCCATGAGATAAGAAAATAGGTGAGCCATTTCGCTAGGATTTGGGGCAATTCCATTGCACTGTCTTCGAAAAAGCGTAGAGCTCTACGTGAAGACGGTTGTCCCAAAGAAGATGTCCTAGGAGATGAGAAGAGAGAGTGGAGGTGAGCCACCTCGCCGAAAATCGGGCACCCATAACATCGATCTTCAAAAAAAAACATGGAGCTCCATGTGAAGTCAGGTCGCTCGGTAACGATTCCGGGAGGATGAGAAGAAAAGAGTGCCCGTCTAAGCCAATTGGCGGGGAGCGGTCCATACCAAACCTTCATTTATTTTAAAGTAAAGGACCTTGGCGTTATAAGGTTGGAAGTCGGTTGGGATGTGCACATCGTTCCCACTAGGGGGCTCGGCTTGAAGGCCTTTGCAAAATGAGAGGTGAATCCAAATTTGGTTGCATGCTTAGCTATGTGTAGAGAGTGTGTTCCCTTGCTATTTCATTTTATCCTTTTAGGGTTTTTTGTTCCTTTTGGATATTCCTTGAGTTGCATTAGTAAAACACATCTCGATCACTTGTTTTATGATATGAAGGATTTCCCCCTCTCCAGTTTCTAAACACACTCATCTTGATGGACCGCTAGGTGAACTAAGTTAACATTAAGCTATCTTGAGAAGTATCTTTGGCACTTTTTATGATCATTGATTTGATTGTGAGCTTGCTTGAGGACAAACAAGAGTTAAAGTGTGAAAAGTTTTGATAAGTGCCAAAGACACTTAGTTTTAAGGTCTATTAGGGGTGTAGTTTGAACTCAATTATGATCCTTTGTGTACCATTTTGAGTCATTTAAGCTATGTTGTGTATTGTGCTTTAAATTATCACCACATTTTGTATTTTTGTGAATAGTAAGAAGGTTTGAGCTAAAAGGGGACATGGCGGCACATTCCGGAGCAAAGCGAGACATGGAAACAAGCTGAAGCCAAGTCGAGAAGAGGCAACGCACGTTGGACGTGCGTAGGGGTGTGCAAATTTCGGAAAAATTTCGGTTAACCGACCGAACCGACGAAATTCGGTTAACCGTTTTCGAACCGAAATATTTCGGTTCGGTTAATGGTTAAAGGTTTTCCCAAAATTCGGTTAACGGTTAATTCGGTTCGAAAGTGTCAGTTAACCGAATTAACCGAACGCTTAACCGAATTTTAGAATATATATATAATATATAATATATTAAATATTAAATATATAATTACTAAAATCATAAATAGTCAAAATGTCAAATAGAATAAATAATAATATGAATTTATTATGATATGTATTTTATTTTAATTGGAATTATTATTTTAGGAATTATTTTATGGATTTTAAATTTTAGGGTTAAAAATTTCGGTTAATCGGTTAACCGACCGATTAACCGAAAAAAAGTTTGGTTCGGTCAATTCGGTAGAGTAAATTTCGGTTCGGTTAACGGTTAAAGCAAAAAAAAATCGATTAATTCGGTTCGGTTAAAACGGTTCGGTTAACCGAACGGTTAACCGAATGAACACCCCTAGACGTGCGTTGAGAGAAAACATAAACATCAACGCACGGCCCAACGTGCGTTGGACGATCGTGTGAAGCGAATAAGTAACCGGCCAACGCACATTGGCCGGTGCGTTGGACGCGCGTTGGAACATCACTTATGTGAAAATTGAAGTGGAAAAAGAGAGGAAAGCTATTTAAGTGGCTAGGATATTTTAGAATAAGGGGGCGTTTGGTTCACGGAATGTTATATTACATTAGGGAATGTTAGATTGCTGGGAATGTTAGATTC